TTATTTATTTATTTATTTATTTATTTATTTATTTTTTGTGCTGAGTTGGAAACTAGATTATTTTAATAGCCAGTGTGTTCGAGAGGCCTGTGTTTGGATCATTGCTTTGTTTCTTTTTAGCTCTATGATTTGGTTAATTGGAATTTCAGTTTCCTCAGCTATAAAAAGTGGGGCTATTAAATACTGACCTACCTGACTATATTAAGATTAAATGATGTCATATATATAAAGCTTTCAGAGAAGTGCCTAGTACATAGGAAGCCCCCTCAGTACTTGTTTATTGGATGGGTAAACTCATAAGAAGTGTGTTAGGAGCTTAGGAGTGATTCGGTACAGGTAAAGCTGCATGCTTGGAAGGTGTTGTGGGCAGTCTCATTAGATGCCTATGGCAGCAGGATAGATAGACTGGAGAAAGAAGAAACTGGAAATACATATATGTGATGAGGATTTGAACTAAGGCACAAGTAGTAGGAATTAAAAAGGGAAGATAGGGGCACCTGGATGACTCAGTTGGTTAATTGTCTGACAGCCCAGGTCATGATCTCTCAGTTTGTGAGTTCTAGCCCCATGTTGAGCCCTGTACTGACAGTGTGGAGCCTGCTTGGGATTCTTTCTTTCCCTCTTTCTCTACTTTTAACTTTCTCTCTCTTTCTCAAAATAAATAAATAAACTTTTTTTTGAAAAAGAGGAGGATAGATTTAGAAGATATTTCTGAGATAGAGAGGTGAGATATGACTGGTAGATGTGAGAGGGAAAAGGAATCAAATATAAAGGTCTATCTAGCTTGAACTAAGAGATAATGTTAGTATCTTTAACCAAGAAGACCAAGTGGAGTGGGAGAAGAGGTAATGAGTTTGGCTTTATAAATTTTAGTACAGTACTTGGAGGAAATGTCTAGTGGAAATGTCTCATGGCTACTTGGAAATGTTTACTTGGAATTTTTAGCTTAGTAGCCATGACATATAAGTGACAGCAAGTGGATGGACTCACTCAGGAAAGCTGTATGTAACAAAATGTGGAAAGAAGCTTGGGGAGGAATTGATACTTTAGGGTTGAACAGGAAAGGAAATTGGAGTAGGAAGAAGTCCGTAAAGAGATTTAAAAATTATCAAGAAGGGAAAATGGTAAGAAACTAATATTTATTGAGTAGTGAATGTGTGCCAGAAAAAGCCTATAGCACCAGAAATTCCTGGAGGTCTTAGTACTAACCAGGTCAAACCCTACTTAGCTTCTGAGATCTGAAAAACTTGGGCATAGGAGGGAGAAATATCATTTAAGCCAAGAGAGAAAGGACTTTAAAGGTAGAAGGGATTGATCAACAGTGCTTCATGGTATAGAAAGATTCAGTAGAATGAGGACTGAAGAGAGGGCTTTGGATTTGACAATTATTATTATTGTTGTTATTATTATTATTATTATTATTTTAAACTAGACTCCATGTTCAACATGCAGCTTGAACTCATGATGCTGAGATCATGAAATCATGAGTCGTATGCTCTACCACTTAAGCCAGCCAGATGCCTCTGGATGTGGCAGTTAGATTCATGGGTGGTTTAATTCCTTGTTTATTTCTTTTTATTTTTTTAAGTTTATTTATTTATTTTGAAAGAGAGAGAAAGTACAAGTGACGGAGGCCAGAGAAAGACAACGTGGAGCCCAATGTGGGGCTCAGACTCAC